GTCGGCGAATGGCCGCGCGCACTGTTTTGCAACCCTGCCAAAACTTCATGTTCACTTTGCGCGCGCAACCCTCTTAGGACTTTGGGTCGACTTGAAAAAAACTTGCGCATCTTGTGCTTTTGTTTGATGTTGTTCAGCTTGTGCAACCTAAAGGTGAACCCTCTGCGGATTCTTGGCAGGGCGCCCCTAAACATCTCGCGGTATTTTGCGTTTATCACCTTTGCGGGCTGGAGAGAGAGAGAGAGAGAGCGAGAGAAAGAGAAAGTGAAAGACGAATAAAAAATGAAAAGCCAAAAGCCACAAATACAAAACGAACCAGAGAGAAAGACAAAGACAAAGAAGAGGAATGAAGAAAAGAAGGGAAAGAGAAAGACAACGAGCAAGCTGAAGAGGAAGGGGGCAGAAAGACGGAGAGAGAGAGAGAGAGAAAGAAAGAAAGAAAGAAAGAAAGAAAGAAAGAAAGAAAGAAAGAAAGAAAGGCAGGAAGGAAGGAAGGAAGAAAGAAAGAAACAAAGAAATAACAACAGACCGAGAGGACGAGACAAATAAACAGAACATAACAGAACGATACAAAAAAACAAAAAAAACAGAGGAAGAGAAAGTGGAGGAAGGGGCAGAGAGAGGAGAGAAAGACAACAAACAAGGGAAAGGAAAAAATGATAAATAAATATATAAATACAACGAGAGAACGAATGAGAGAAGGGGACAAGAAGCATACTCCAAACTTTAGTTCTTATACTCTAAAACTGCCCCCCAGCTCCGCCAGCTTTCCTGGTATCAGAATTGGGTTACTTCTCCATTGTATTGGAAGCGGCAACGGGAGAACACGATGGACAATGATCTCCCCGACAAAAACAGATCAAAGTGTCAAACCTCACTTCCTGAGTGGGTTGCCCAGAAAGAGTCCGAACTTTTTTAAGTCAACGCAAAACGGACCCGAACCAAATCAAACCCAAGCGTAAAGCACTCACCAACAAACTAACCTAAAACAACTTCACTGCACCCTACACTCACCCAACAAGTGACTCAAGTCCAAGCGCTGAGGGAGTGAGGAACTGGCCAAAAGGGCCACGCCTCGTTGGGCAACTAGGGCAACGCCCCTGGATTTAACGGCCTCTTGTTCGGCTTGCCTCGCTTTTTTGGTGGTTTGGAGCCTGGTGGTTTGCTGGTTTCTGGGCAGTTTCCCATTTACCCTCTACAAGAACCATGGGTTCAAATCCAAATCCAACCCAATCCAAACCACCAATTAAGGATTACCTGCTTAGACCGTATCCTGCAAAGTGAGTGAGTGGAACCCTTTTGGCTCCTGGTTCAAAGGGAATTCAAAGGAACACTAGGTCCTCCAGCACAGAGGTTAGAAAAAGGTTGCCCAATTTTTTGTTCTGTAGCCTGTTTTGGGGGAGTCCTCCCCACCCAAAAAGTGGGTGAGAAAGGGCACCTAGCTGGGGCACCTAGAAAACCCAACCGATTCAGGGTCACCACTGCTTTGTGCCAGGAACCACGTAGATGTTCCCATCGGAGCGGCCCACGTAGACCGAGCCATCTCCGGTGATCACCGGCGAACTCCATTGAGCGGGGAGGCAAATGGCTCGCAAGTTCGTCGTGTTCCTGGGCTCCGAGAACAGCTATTCATGAATTAAGCAGAAGCCTCCCTTCATTGAATCTGCAGTGCTGATGATAGCCCGGTACCAAAGTGCATGCTTCGGGTGCATGAGGTAAGGCATGCTTATGGTCTGTAAAGGAACTCATCTCGGCTGCATATGGCAATATATTGGCATGGCCTCCCCTAGGTGGCCTATTGGAAGAGGGGAAGAAGGGCATGGCTGGACGGCAACGCGCGAAAGCTGGCAATGGCAGGAGTCCGAGCATGAGTGCGGCAGGTTGATGAGAGCACCAGGGTTGACGGCTTCCAACTTAAGCGCATGGCGAGGTGGTGGGGCACCAAAGAGGTGAACTACGACCAGATTGGGGCAAGATGCCCATGAACACTTGAGAGCGCCGAAAGTCGAGCAAAGCTCGTAGGAAACTAAGGGCAATCATTCCAGAAAATCCGCAAAAGCCGAATGTTCAAACTCCGCAGTCTGACATGGCTGGTCAAAACCAGGTGCCGCAAATGGGTCACCCTGGCAATTGGAGAAACATGGACTACAACCCGCGGTCCCATAGTACTCATTTCTATTGACCAAAAAAGAGACCCGCCGCCATACCCATTTCTCTTGACCAAAAAGCAGCCCCGTGCCCCGTGACTGAGGCGCTCCATGCCCAGTTCCAGGCGCTTCACGTCCCCTCGGCTGAAGAACACGGAGGCGCCGTTGAACTCCCAGCGCGGCTGCCCCGTCGCCGCGTCCAGCGCCAGGACGCTGCCCGGCTTCGCCGCGAAGTCACTGGGGAAGGCGCCTGCCAGACGGTCAGAACAACTTTTCCGGAACCGATTTTCAAGCCACGCGGTTTGTTTGGTTGCTTGCTCGCTTGATTGCTTGTTTGCTTGCTTTGATTGCTC